TTAGATACTATTTGGGTATTTTTGTATCTGTTGTATCTGACGTAACTAATTTATTATATTCCATGAGTAAACTAGAGATATACCCCTGTATCCCAAAAATAAACTAGGGAAATCAAATGAGTAAACTAGATATATACCCCTGTATCCCAAAAATAAACTAGGAAAATTCTCTGACTTAGTAAAACCTCTATATACCATCAATAGATATACTCGGACTAACTAATTAATATATCACGTGAGTATACAAGAGATATGAACATATACACCCATGAGTAAACTACAGATTCTCTGACTAGCTAATACCCCTGTATCCCATTTGTAAACTAGATATTATCTTACTAACTAATTCCCTTGTTTCCCATTTGTAAACTACAGATTATCTGACACACAAATACCCCTGTTTCCCATTAGTAAACTACAGATTCTGTGACTATCTAATACGATTATGATGGCAAAAGTTTACGGAGAAAGGTTTACATTGTTTGGTTTTATTATCGACTCACTATTTTGGCACTCTTCGTTGTTTCGATTTTTTTTGTACTAATGGCGACTCTTTTATAGACAAAATTGCCATTTGGTGCAGTAGCTATTGACTTTGTTTTGATTTCTGCATCAACAATATAAACCTTTAAACAGGTGCTTCATTCCTTGGTATTTCTAGCGGTTACTGTCAGTACCTGAGGTTAGACGTAGCGGTGTAGCTTTAACTTACTCTTCGTTCCCCTGAACACTTGTGAATGGACAACATGGCCATACTGTACAGTAAATATTTACCTTGTTTGCTTTCGGCGTCTACAAATTAAAAAGATTAAAAATAAGAGACTTCTTACTTCGTTTTTCTACTGATTACTGAGAGCACCTGAGGTGTAACTCGAATTTATTCTGGCCATGTTTACATAAAAAAAAAATGTACAAATATAAATTACATGTTGTAGCCAAATAATGTATGAACGTAAGTTGATAAGGCCTGTTAAGGTCCCTTCCTCCTCCCTTTGATGTTTTTCTACACCATTTACAGTAAAAAGATAAATCGCTTCGGATCTCTGCAACGACTCACTGAATTCTCAATAGATTTCTCCTTACTTTCTATTGGTAGTGAATATTAACGAATACAACTGTAAGAATAGCACAGACTTAAGTCTCTTATGCTTCTGTATATTGACGTCTGATTAACTAACTACTACAATAGAACTGCTCCTGTGTTCCGTTAGTAAACTATATATATATTGACGTCTGACTAACAAATGTGCCTGTATTCCGTTAGTTAACTAGATATTGACGTCTGACTAACCAATTTACCCCTGTATGGCAATTTTGTACATTAGATCTAGGGAAACATCCATAAAAATATCATTTTCGTTCTTTGTTTTTTTCTGCACAGAAAAGAATCCGGATCATTGTGTAACAAAATTCGGACATTCTTTAACCAATACCTAGACAGAACAAAGTACAACAATTTACCAAAAAGAAATACCTTGCCAGATTGGCCTACCTCTTTACTGACGGTTAACGTCGCGTCTCTCACGTGTACTAGTCCTGGTTGTCATGGAGATAAGTCATGTAAGTATATATATATACACTTTTGTTATTAACAACACCATCACTTACTGATCGCAACGATAAAAATTGGATGAAGTTCTGATGTATTCTCACTGACACTTAGTTGAATATCGCTGTTGCGATAACCTGTTATCCCTCATGTATATAAGTTAACTCCTTGTATGCTGTGCTACTCATTTCTATCTGATGTCCATTAGTTCTGATTTCCTATACTGTGAGACAAAGGCAAGGGAAATACGAACTCAAGATAGGAAATCTAGTCCTTGGCCCCTATTTCGTATATGTTGCATTATAATCTTAATAAAAAGTCATTTAATATTAAGAAAATATATCAATAAATAATATTAGAGAATTCAATGTGAATGATAAGGCATTTAATTGCACTTGCGTTAGAATCATCGAACCTTATGAATCACCAGTCCAAGCCTCCGTTATAGTTGGTAGTAGGGTAATTATACTGGTGTCAAACGGTACATTTACAAGATTAGGTAAGTATTGCAGATATGAGTTAACAGCTTCTCCTATAACTTGCCAGTGTGATATTTTAACAAACAGGGTTGTAATATATTACATATTGGCCATTTGAATATGTTGACATTCCCTTCTCGTTCCGCAGGTTATAGCAGCCCAACCTCCCTCCTGAACAAAACACACGCAGACTCTCATTTCGCCAGCTGTGATGGACACGCGCCAACAAAGTCTATGCATTTTATATGTGGTACTTCAAGAAAGGCAAGACAGTCTGCCCGGACAGCAGACCCAGGGTCCATCATAGCGTCTATCGAACTATTAGGCAGGAGGAGACGTAAATCTGTCACGTCAACAACACTGGGCCAAAATATCAGAGTGACGGGTCAAACTGCTACAACAACTGACCTTGGACAAACTGCTACACAACGGCATCTAACCCAAAATACCACATTGACGGATGAAATTACCAGCGAGCCACGTTCTGGTAATGGCCAAAATACTATATCACCAGGTTCACTCCAAACAGCCACGGTGACGGTTCAAACTACCAGAAAAGTAGGTACGGAGACGATACAAAATTCTATGCCACCAGCCCTGATCCAAACTACTCTGCTTCCAGGCCAGACCCATAGTTCTATGTCAACAGGTTTAGGACCAAGTACCACGGTGGAGGGTCAAATTACAAGCCAACTAGATTCGCGAACGATTCAAACTACTTTGCCAACAATTGTCATTCAAGCTAATATGCCATCAGGTCTAAGCCCAGCTACCAAAGTTACGGGTCAAAATACCAACGGACCAGGTACGGGAGCAGGCATAACTGCTACGCCAATTGGTCTCAGCCAAACTGCTTTACAATCAGGTTTGAATAGGGCAGTAACGTTTCAAGATACAAGCGAACCAGCTCCAGGCCAAACAAATATGTCACCAAGTCAACATTCTACGGTAGCAGGTCGAAGTACCAGCCAACAAGATACGGGGACAGGACAAACTGCAACGGCAACTGGTCTTGGCCATACTGCTACGCAACCAGGTCTGACCCAAATAACTGTGTCACCAGGATTAAGTCAAACTTCTGATTTGACGAGTGAATCTGCTTTGCCGTCAGGTCTAAGTTCCATAGTGACGGGTCGAACTACTAGCCAACTAAGTACGAGGACTGACAAAACTGCTACGTCATCAGATGTAAGTCAATCTACGACGGTGACGGGCCAAACTACAATAGCACACAGCCAAAGCCAACCTACCACAGGGACAGACCAAACTGATACGTCATCAGTTGTAAGTCAACATACCTCGGTGATGGGTAAAACTACTAGCCAATTTGGTACGGGAACTAGTCAAACTCCTATGTTTACAGGTCTGAGTCAACCTACAAAGGTGACGGTTCAAACAACGGTTTCACAAGATCTGAGTCAATCACCTAAGGTAACGGGTCAAACTGCTAGCACACTTGGTACGGGGACAGGATCAAGTCTAAGTCAACCTACCACAGATCAAACTACCGTATCAACAGGTCTTAGCCAACCTACAACGGCCACTGGTCAAACTACTAGCCAACTATATATGGGGACGGCCAAAACTGTTACGTCATCAAGTCTACATCAAACTTCCATGGTGGTCGATAAGACTACTAGCCAATATGTTTCTGGGACGGATCAAACTAGGACGTCATCAGGTTTCAATCAAACTACCACAATGACTGGACAAACTACGACGTCATCAGGTCTAAATCAATTTACCACAATAATGGGAAAAAGTAGGACGTCATTAGGTCTAAATCAAACTACCACAATAACGGGTCGAAGTACGAGGTCACCCAGCCTCAACCAAACTACCAAAATGATGGGACGAACTACGACGTCATCAGATCTTAATCCAACTACCACAATGGCGGAGCAAACCAACTCGCCAGGTCACAATAAAACTACCACAATTACGGGACAAACTACGACGTCACCAGGTCTCATTCAAACTACCACAATAACGGCACAAACTACCACGTCATCAGGTCTTAATCAAGCTAACGTAATGACAGGACAAACAACGACGTTACCAAATCTCAATCAAACTACCGTTATCACTGGTCAAACAACCACGTCATCAGTTCTCAATCAAACTACCACAATGACGGGACAAACTACAACGTCACCAGGTCTCAATCAAGCAACCAAAATGACGGGACCAACTATAACGTTACCAGGTCTCAATCAAACTACCGCAATGACGGGACCAACTACAACGTCACCAGGTCTCACTCAAACAACCAAAATGACGGGTCAATCTACAACGTTACCAGGTCTCAATCAAACTACCGCAATGACGGGACCAACCAAAACGTTACCAGGTCTCAATCAAACTACCGCAATGACGGGACCAACAACAACGTTACCAGGTCTCAATCAAACTACCGCAATGACGGGACAAACGACGGCCTCATCAGTTCTCAATCAAACTACCGCAATGACGGGACCAACTACAACATCACCAGGTCTCAATCAAACTACCGCAATGACGGGACCAACTACAACGTCACCAGGTCTCAATCAATCTACCGCAATGACGGGACAAACGACGGCCCCATCAGTTCTCAATCAAACTACCGCAATGACGGGACCAACTACAACATCACCAGGTCTCAATCAAACTACCGCAATTACGGGACAAACTACAACGTCACCAGGTCTCAATCAAACTACCCCAATGACGGGACCAACTACAACGTCACCAAGTCTCACTCAAACTACCGCAATGACGGGACCAACTACACTACCGCAATGACGGGACCAACTACAACGTCACCAGGTCGCAATCAATCTACCGCAATGACGGGACAAACGACGGCCCCATCAGTTCTTAATCAAACTACCGCAATGACGGGACCAACTACACCGTCACCAGGTCTCAATCAATCTACCGCAATGACGTGACAAACGACGGCCACATCAGTTCTCAATCAAACTACCGCAATGACGGGACCAACTACAACGTCACCAAGTCTCAATCAAACTACCGCAATGACGGGACCAAATACAACGTCACCAGGTCTCACTCAAACAACCAAAATGACGGGACCAACTACAACGTCACCAGGTCTCAATCAAACTACCCCAATGACGGGACCAACTACAACGTCACCAGGCCTCAATCAAACTACCGCAATGACGGGACAAACTACAACTTCACCAAGTCTCAATCAAACTACCGCAATGACTGGACCAAATACAACGTCACCAGGTCTCACTCAAACTACCACAATGACGGGACCAACTACAACGTCACAAGGTCTAACTCAAACAACCGCAATGACGGGACCAACTAAAACGTTACCAGGTCTCACTCAAACAACCGAAATGACGGGACCAACTACAACGTCACCAGGTCGCAATCAAACTACCGCAATGACGGGACCAACTACCACGTTACCAGGTCTCAATCAAACTACCGCAATGACGGGACAAACGACGGCCTCATCAGTTCTCAATCAAACTACCGCAATGACGGGACCAGCTACAACGTCACCAAGTCTCAATCAAACTATCGCAATGACGGGACCAAATACAACGTCACCAGGCCTCACTCAAACAACCGCAATGACGGGACCAACTAAAACGTTACCAGGTCTCACTCAAACAACCGAAATGACGGGACCAACTAAAACGTTACCAGGTCTCACTCAAACAACCGAAATGACGGGACCAACTACAACGTCACCAGGTATCAATCAAACTACCGCAATGACGGGACCAACCACAACGTTACCAGGTCTCAATCAAACTACCGCAATGACGGGACAAACGACGGCCTCATCAGTTCTCAATCAAACTACCGCAATGACGGGACCATCTACAACGTCACCAGGTCTCACTCAAACAACCGAAATGACGGGACCAACTACAACGTCACCAGGAATCACTCAAACAACCGCAATGACGGGACCAACTAAAACGTTACCAGGTCTCACTCAAACAACCGAAATGACGGGACCAACTAAAACGTTACCAGGTCTCACTCAAACAACCGAAATGACGGGACCAACTACAACGTCACCAGCTCTCAATCAAACTACCTCAATGACGGGACCAACTACAACGTCACCAAGGCTCAATCAAACAACCGCAATGACGGGACCAACTACAACGTCACCAAGTCTCAATCAAACTACCGCAATGACAGGACAAACTACAACGTCACCAAGTCTCAATCAAACTACCGCAATGACGGGACCATCTACAACGTCACCAGGTCTCACTCAAACAACCAAAATGACGGGACAATCAACAACGACACCAAGTCTCAATCAAACTACCACAATGACGGGACAATCTACAACGACACCAAGTCTTAATCAAACCACCACAATGACGGGACAATCTACAACGACACCAAGTCTCACTAAAACTACCACAATGACGGGACAATCTATAACGACACCAAGTCTCAATCAAACCACCACAATGACGGGACAATCTACAACCACACCAAGTCTCAATCAAACCACCACAATGACAGGAAAATCTACAACGACACCAAGTCTCAATCAAACCACCACAATGACGGGACAATCTACAACGACACCAAGTCTCAATCAAACCACCACAATGACAGGACAATCTACAACGACACCAAGTCTCAATCAAACTACCACTATGACGGGTCAATCTACGACGTCATCAGATCTAAATCAAACTACCACAATGACGGATCAAACCAATTCTTCACTAGGTCTTTATCAAACTACCATAATGACGGGAAAAACTACCACGTCACAAGTTCTTAATCAAACTACCCTACTGACTGGACAAACTACGACATCATCAGGTCAAAATCAGACCACAGAAATGACGGGACAAACTACGACGTCATCAGTTCACAATCAAACTACCACAATGACGGGACAAACTACGACGTCACCAGGTATCAATCAAATTACCACAATGTCGGGACAAACTACGGCGTCATCAGGTCTGAATCAAACTACCACAATGACGGGACAAATTACGACGTCACCAGGTCTCAATCAAACTACCACAATGACGGGACCAACTACGACGTCACCAGGTCTCAATCAAACTACCACAATGACGGGACCAACTACAGCGTCACCAGGTCTCACTCAAACTACCGCAATGACGGGACCAACTACAACGTCACCAAGTCTCACCCAAACTACCGCAATGACGGGACCAACTACAACGTCACCAGGTCTCACTCAAACTACCGCAATGACGGGACAAACTACAACGTCACCAGGTCTCAATCAAACTACCACAATGACGGGACAAACTACAACGTCACCAGGTCTCAATCAAACTACCGCAATGACGGGACCAACTACAACGTTACCAGGTCTCAATCAAACTACCACAATGACGGGACCAACTACAACGTCACCAGGGCTCACTCAAACAACCGCAATGATGGGACCAACTACAACGTCACCAGGTCTCAATCAAACTACCGCAATGACGGGACAAACTACTACGGCTTCTGGGCTCAATCAAACTACCGCAATGACGGGACAAACTACTACGGCTTCTGGTCTCAATCAAACTACCGCAATGACGGGACAAACTACAACGTCACCAAGTCTCACTCAAACTACCACAATGACGGGACCAACTACGACGGCACCAGGTCTCAATCAAACTACCACAATGACGGGACCAACTACAACGTCACCAGGTCTCAATCAAACTACCACAATGACGGGACAAACTACAACGTCATCAGGTCTAAATCAAACTACCACAATGTCGGGTCAATCAACGACGTCATCAGATCTTAATCCAACTACCACAATGACGGATCAAACCAATTCTTCACTAGGTCTTTATCAAACTACCATAATAACGGGGAAAACTACCACGTCACAAGTTCTTAATCAAACTACACTACTGACTGGACAAACTACGACATCATCAAGTCTAAATCAGACTTCAGAAATGACGGGACAAACTACGATGTCATCAGGTCGCAATCAAACTACCACCGTTACGGATCAAACTTCGACGTCATCAGGTCTAAATCAAACTACCGCAACGACGGGACAACCTACGACGTCATCAAGTTTTAATGAAACCACCACAATAACGGGACGAACTACGATGTCTGCAGGTCTTAATCAAACTACCACAAAGACTGGACAATCTACGACGTCGTTAGATCTTTATCAAACTGCTGCAATGACAGAAGAAACTACGGCGTCATCAGGTATCATTCAAATTACCACAATGACAGGACAAACAACGACGTCACCAAGCCTCAATAAAACTAACGCAATGACGGGACAAACTACGACGTCAACAGGTCTTAATCAAACTACCGCAATGACGGGACAAACTACTACGGCTTCTGGTCTCAATCAAACTACCACAATGTCGGGTCAATCTACGACGTCATCAGATCTTAATCCAACTACCACAATGACGGATCAAACCAATTCTTCACTAGGTCTTTATCAAACTACCATAATAACGGGGAAAACTACCACGTCACAAGTTCTTAATCAAACTACACTACTGACTGGACAAACTACGACATCATCAAGTCTAAATCAGACCACAGAAATGACGGGACAAACTACGACGTCATCAGGTCGCAATCAAACTACCACAATGACGGGACAAACTACGACGTCACCAGGTCGCAATCAAACTACCACAATTACGGGACAAACTCCGACCTCACCAGGTCTGAATCAAACTCCAGCAATGACGGGACAAACTAGGACGTCATCAGGTTTCAATCAAACAACCGCAATGACTGGACAAACTACGACGACACCAGGTTTAAGTCAACCTACTACAATGGTCAATCAAACTACGACGTCAAGCCAACCTCAGACGCAAACGATGACTTCAAAAACACCGAACAATCAGCGGGAGATCATGAATGATAATACTGACGTCACCGATGGTCCCAGTGTGACCACCATGGCTGGAATTGTAATAGGGTGCGTACTTGTCCTGCTCATTTTAGTGATTGTAGCTGCCGTGATACGTAAGAATGTAAGGCAGATGAATCGAATAGGGAGTAACACGGATTTAATTGATCCCGCAGAACTCTACACCCTCTACAAAACACCACCGGAAACTGCCGCAAAGCCTAAGTTTGTGTTTAGATAAATCTATGGCACTACTCCGAGCAGCGGACTCAACCCACAGAAGTTAAATTGTTCAAAACAAATATCTTAACGTATATGGCTCTAACACAGCATATAACTTCGTTAATCACAGAGATGATGTGACACTGGACAGATATTTCTGTAGCGGAACTAGACTGAAAAACGTCACGTTTACATTGTGTAAATAATTACACAAAACGTCCCGTTAATATTATGTAAAAAATATTCCAAAACGTCATGTAAACGTTGTGTTAATAATAACCCAAATGGTCACATTAATGTTGTGTTAATAATAACTAAAAACGTCACGTTAACCTTTGTTTTAATAATAACTAAAAACGTCACGTTAACCTTTGTTGTAATAATAACTAAAAACGTCACGTTAACCTTTGTTGTAATAATAACTAAAAACGTCACGTTAACCTTTGTTGTAATAATAACTAAAAACGTCACGTTAACCTTTGTTGTAATAATAACTAAAAACGTCACGTTAACCTTTGTTGTAATAATAACTAAAAACGTCACGTTAACCTTTGTTGTAATAATAACTAAAAACGTCACGTTAACCTTTGTTGTAATAATAACTAAAAACGTCACGTTAACCTTTGTTGTAATAATAACTAAAAATGTCACGTTAACCTTTGTTGTTATAATAACTAAAAACGTCTCGTTAACCTTTGTTGTAATAATAACTAAAAACGTCATTCAAACGTTGTGTTAATAATAACCTAAAACGTCACGTTAACTTTGGGTTAATAATAACTCAAAATGTCACGTTAATATTTTGTTGATTTTTAACCCAAAACGTCACGTTAACATTGTGTTGATAATTACTCAAAATGTCAAGTTAGCAAGGTGTTATTAATAACCTAAAACGTCACGTTAACTTTGGGTTAATAATAACAAAAATTGTCGTGTCAACACTATGTTAATAATAACCCAAAACGTCACTTTTATGTTGTGTTAATGATAATAATAACCAAACATGTCACGTTAACATGTTGTTTATGGGGTTTTTGTTATAATTGTTCAAAAGAGTTTTTTTTAATAATAATGGATCAGTAATTCATTCAGATCATATAATTACCTATTTGTCACCAATCATCTTTCATGTTACCACTCATGCCATACAAATTATGCAAAAAGAAATTTGTATCACTAAAGACTGCATATGGATAAGTATTATTTCATTTAATATCACACTGTATTGCTATAAGGAAAATTTTTGAACCACAAAGTTATCTTTTATTACATTAGCCAGAGCCATAACAGAGAGAGTACCATGTATAGTTCTGGTTCTGTAGATATAGGATTTGATTAGAAGAAGAACTTCATTCTCAATGCGATTGTAAATGCCTGTGTTATTTACCAAACCAAATAACAATGTTTCTTTATTAATAGGTAATGTAATTGTTAGTGCATTTAACAACCTTTCAAAACTTGCCAGAAACTTCTGAACCTTATCAAATTCCCAGAACATATGCACGATTGTCTCCCTTTCTCTATTACAGAAATTACAATTAGGATTGTTTGATAAGACTATTTTATGTGCATAAGAGTTAGTTGTTAGAATATAGTGGTTAACCTTAAATTGTAGCCAACGGAGTTCAGAATTTTGAGTTGATCGAAAAGGAATACTGTAAAAAGAATCCATTTCTCTTCATTATAGTCAAAGATATTCCCCCATTTTTGCTGACCAGTTATGTTAATATTATTTCTCAGGAGTAAACGGTAGAATTCCTGCGACCTTTTTTTTCTTTGGGATTAGCTCAAGATAAAGTGGAATAATCGGAAACGTCAATGTTCTACTTGGAGATGTTAAAGGCCTCAAGTATTTCTTAATAATTTGGATTACTCCATACTATTGTAAATAATTTGTTATTGTACCAAACACAGTACAGAATTCATTAAAATTATAAAAGGAAAACGTTCTATTGTCTTTTATTAAGTCATTCACTATACTAATTCCTGCATCGAACCATTTTTTTGTAGAAAATTGGTTGGTTTTTAACAACAATGTTTTTGTTAAACCATACTGGAGTTTTAAGTATCAACTCCTCATCATCATTAAGATTTCTAACAAGTTCTTCTTTAACTCTAAGATTATACCAAGCCTGAAATACATCTTCCCAGAATATATATTTTTACATTTAGTTTTCGTTACGTGTAGATCATCATTCCAACATTTAGATAAAAGCTGAACGTCTACATTTTTTTCAGAATTCCTAGCCATTTACCAAGTGAGCTAAAGATTCTCCTGATCCACCCTAACTTAAGAGCTTCTATATATTTCTTAACATGAACCATTTTTAGACCTCCTTCAATGTAAGTTTGTACAATTACCTCTCTCTTAACTTTATCTGTCTTACTATTCCATAAGAAGTTGGGAAGGACTGAGTTAAGTTTTTTTATAAAAACATCATCAGGATTGGGTAATGCAATAAAAGGATGATTGAACTGTGAGATAAGTAAAGATTATATTATACTAATTCTCCCTAAAGGAGTAAGAGATCTACGGCTCCAACACTTGATACGAGATTTGAGTTTAACAAGTTTTTTTATCGTAGTTCAGATTAGCTATTTTAAAAAGGTCTACATGGAATTCTAAACCTAAAAGATTGAAATGTCCCACCCCCCAGTTTAAGTTCAGTTCAGGTAATAGAACGTCCTCGCTATATTTTTTACTCCCTATCCATACAATCTGTGTTTTATCTAAGTTAATTTAGATCGACCCCACCCCCCACCACCACCCACCCACCGCCGCCTGATTTATAGCAGAACTGGCTTTTCTGTGTAAAACTTTTATCCATTTCCTCATATCATTTCCAAATTTAAAAAACCTGAGAACTTCATCAATAAATTTCCAAGAAACAGAATCGAAAGCTTTTCAAAATCAATCACTTAAATAGCATGCCAGGAATATCAATTTCTTCAGTATATTGCATAATGTCATGAATGAGTCTGGTATTTTCGCCTATGTATCTTCCTGATAAAAATCCTGTCTGATCGGGGTTAATTAATTTTCCCAAAAATGGTTTTATTCTATTAGCTATAGATCCTGAGGCTAATTTATACACAGTATTTAAGTGAGAAATTGGTCGCCAGTTCCTAATAAAGTGTCTGGGTTTATCACCCTTAGGCAAACATGTAATTATACCTTGCCTCTGTGTAACAGATAATTGATTGATCATAAATCCATAATTGATAGCCCTAACAACAAAGTTTCCCAATTTTTTCCAAAAACACTTAAAAAATTCTATCGTGAACCCATCAGACCCCGGACTTTTATTATTCTTCATACTTTTTAGAGTGGCGGAGGCCTCTTTAAGAGTAATAACTCCTTCAAGACTAACCGAATCAACATCACTTTATTTTGGAACATGACAATTCTTCAACAATTCTTCTCAAGGGCCGATTTCCAAAACGGCCCCTTCTCTGATTCAAATTTCCTGTTGGTGGTGCATTGCCCATGCCGTTGTGGTCACAAATCTATAAAGTATAAAGATTTAGGTCACTTGGTTTGTTTTTTATGGCTCCTCAAAGTTGTACCTTTCAGAAGCTGTCTAAGTGTTGATAAAATGTGCATGTTATGTAAAATATCAGTGAAAATCTAATCAAATGATGGTCACCGTAAAGAATACATTCATGGCATGATTGTGACAAAAAATCATGTTTCCATCGCGCCATTTGGCTGTTTTATGGAAGAAACAATCTCAAAAATGCCATTTTCGATGATAACATTTTAGACACAAAAACTGTGTTTTTTAGAGAATACACCCTTTTATGGGCGTTTATTGCATACCAATTGTTATCCTATTAAACAGTACGTAACATGCTGTTGATGAGAGGAAAAATCATCAAAATGTAAGTGGTGGAACATTTTCAAATGTTGGGTTGAATTAGCCTATGGTTGAATTGCCGATTTTCGACTTTCTTTAGATAATTAACAAAAAAACGAGAGTATTTGCTCGGTATGTTGAGAATATGTACACAGATATGAAAAAAAGTGAGAGAAACACTTTTTCATAAAAAAAATCCAAGATGGCTACTTCACAAGTCCCCGTGGTTGAAGACATTGGCTGACAAATAGACAGAACAACAAACAAAACGTGTTCCTTATGATTTTGGTTGGTTTTCGCATTTACGGGAGTGTTCATAGCTACGGGCGATTGTATAATACCTATATTTATAAGTTTGGTTAGTCACATGGTAACGGGGATCTTTCATATCGAGCCCCAAACATACTTTCGACATATGCACTCCGTTGCCGCATGGAAAACTATTTCAAGTTTTGTCGGAATTTCTTTACCTGTGGTTGTAATGGTCGAGGGTTTTCCAGCGTCCTGTAATACCCAAGGTAGTACAAGATACTGGAGATGTGCGCACACATTCCCATCGTTCTCTCTCCAACTGGGCACTGGCAGTAGTAGTCCTTTATTGGGGCCTCAACATCGGGTGAAACGGTGAACCGTATCCAAACGTTATATTTCGTTTGGCTTTTGTGTCGAGAATGTATTTGACATCGGAGAAGGTCTGGGGAGTGCTGGTAAAGCCACACCTCATAGTCTCCGTCATCACTTAAATGTTCGGCGATGTAACCAGGAGCCAGAGATATCTGATACGTTCCACACGTAATGGTTCTCAAGTAATCAAGATCGAGACGGGGAAACAGTACGGAAGATGCATCCATCTTGACAAACTCGGACCTTGCCCGTCTAGATAGATCCGGATCTGTCTTGACTCTCTGAGCTAAACCATTCGGTGTTGTCAAACGGTCCTTCATACGTTCAGCCATTAGCCTATCTTTGGCATCTCTCTCTGGAGATCTCTGGTAGATCGGTCCTCTAATACCATTCAGACAGGCTGTGACGGTTCGAAGCAAAGCCTCGATGACATTGATAAAGCTGTTAGACACCAATTGCGTTCGGAAGAACGTCCAGTGTTTCAGACGACCATGATAGGATTCCACAATCCACCTCGATTTGGTGATAGTTCTGTCAA